GGGATTTAAACCAAACTAATCAGTGCTGCGCATTATTCCAGAGCAACTATGTACCAAGTTTCATTGAAATCTGTTTAATAGTATATGAGAAACAAGTGAAAATGCTTACAATTGGCTAATTAGTATGTGAATTAGGTAATTAATATGTACGGATTTCAACCTGATTATAAGTGCATGTTGTTGGCGAACTTTTGAACTTGAATGAATGTTTCAATACAACACTCTTTTCACTTGTAATTTTGAATAAAACACAGGATTGCAGGATTTGCTCTTCATTTGTCTTCATCAACAGCTGTTGCCATACTTTGGCATTCTGTGGATTATGCGACCGATTAAAGTTAAACTCGAAGTCGATAGTTGACTCATGGTGCCACCTTTCCATTGTTAAGGTTATTCAACGTTTTCAACTTTTCCATTTTGATGTTATACCATAAACCATGCGTATTTCAGTAGCCAAAATTGTCATTATTATATTATCGTTTTTTTCAGCAACCGCTGAATTATATTCTGAAAAACCCTTCTCAACTCTCCCACCCTAGCCTTCCCAACTTTTCCACCCTACCTTCCCAACTTTTCCACCCTACCTTCCCAACTCTCCCACCGTACGCTTCCCAACTTCCCCATCCTACCCTTCCCAACATCATTAAATTCATTAAAACAATTATAAATATTTAATGAAATAATGACCATATTTGACTTCATATTTTGGTCATATATCTAGACAAACCAGATACATGAAACTAATAACAGGTAATTAATATGCATAGATTTCAACCCTGAAGTAATCAGATCTGTGGATATCTAAAAGCACCTAATAGTTTTATTACTAAGCGCCTATAATTATTGGTTAATTTATGCAAATTAAGTAATTAGTAAGCTCAGAATTAAACCCTAAACTGAACATGTATATCCCTAAGTATTTACATGTCTATTTACCAAGTTTCATCAAATCTGATGTGTGGTTGGAATATTGGTGTAAAGCTAATATGCAAATCAGTCAATTAATATGCATGGTTCAACCGGATTTTTATCAGGTCTTAGTATTATCCTAAAGTGTCTATGTACCATGTTTCATTAAAATCTGTCTAATGGTATACGAGGAACAGTGAAAATGCTTAAAAAAGTCTAATTATTATGCTAATTAAATCATTGATTTAACAGATTTAAACCAAAACTAATCAGTGCTGCGCATTATCCCAGAACATCTATGTAGCAAGTTCGATTGAAATCTGTCTAATGGTATATGAGAAACAGTTAACATGTTCAAAATTGACTAATTAATATACTAATTAGAAAATTAATATGCACGGGATTCAAACCAAAACTAATCAACACTGCGTATTATCCCTTAACTATCAAGTTTCATTGAAATCTGTTTAATACTAACAGCACATGAAAACAAGTGAAAATGTTTTAAAATGGCTAAATAATATGCAAATTAGGTGATTAATATAGACGGATTTCAAGCAAAAAATTATCAGGTCTGTGCATTATTCCAGAGCAACTATGTACCAAGTTTCATTGAAATCTGTTTAATAGTATATGAGAAACAAGTGAAAATGCTTACAATTGGCTAATTAGTATGTGAATTAGGTAATTAATATGTACGGATTTCAACCTAAAACTGAGCATCACCCCTTAGCCTCTTTTTTAGTTTTTAATTAAAAACTGATCATTGGTACTTGAGATATCAATGGAACAGTCGCACACACACACACACACACACACACACACACACACACACACACACACACACACACACACACACACACACACACACACATATGCACAGACACACATAAGCACTACGATCCGAGCAAAACTCAAATTAATTTGATAAATTTAATAACCGATCTATATATTTCTGTAAATGTTCTAATCAGCCATATATATGTGCAGCGTGGTCGGCACCTAATTATAAGTGCATGTTTTGAACTTGAATGAATGTTTCAATACATCACTCTTATCACTTGTAATTTTGAATAAAACACAGAATTGCAGGATTTGCTTTTCAATTGTCTTCATCAACAGCTGTTGCCATACTTTGACATTCTGTGGATTCGGGGCTAATCTGCACTGGCTCGGAAGGTTGCAAATGATTAGCTAGTTTGAATTTCTAATTTGCATAACATTACTGAGAATGAACGTGCATTCAACGCCACAAGTTTTTTGTTTTTTTAGCCAATCAGAATTCATCTTCCGAGCCAGTGCAGATCAGCAGTGGATTTGACTTGACTGGAAGTAGATAATTGACTTATGGTGCCACATTTCCATTGTTAAGGTTATTCAACGTTTTCAACTTTTCCATTTTGATGATATACCATAAACTATGCGTATGTCAGTAGCCAAAATTGTCATTATTATATTATCGTTTTTTTTCAGCAACCGCTGAATTATATTCTGAAAAACCGCATATCGTATTTTTTGTGGTTGATGATTTAGGGTGGAATGATGTTGGTTATCACAATTCAAACATAAAGACGCCTACCATTGATATGCTCGCCAGGAGTGGTGTAAGACTGAATAACTATTATGTTGCTAGTCACTGCGTTCCATCGCGAAATATGCTGATGTCTGGTAGACATGTGGTAAGTAATTAATAATTATAATATTTTAGCTTGGTCCTCGTATCAATATGTAAATTTCTGTGCAGAAATAAGTTTTTTGTTGAGACGGAAAATTATCGTGTGCGTGAATCGTGAAATATTCACAACTTAGTAATATTTTCATCTATTTTCAATTTGACAATATGGCAAACTTGAAAATATCCAAAACGAAAGAGCGAGGAGTGCCTGTAACCTTATGTGGCCTAATAGCCATCTTTCCGCCCGAGCATATATCATTGAACAGCGACACGTGTTAATTTCCTCTCGCACAGCACATTAACTATGTTCCACTGTACACACTGACCAATGTATTTCTGTGTATGTAACTGTGTTCACTGCACCTTATTGAAATCTACTGACTATTGATAAAACCATTAATAAAGACCATTAATAAAACATATTTCAAGCACGAACTTTTCCAAATGTTTGCAGGATAAAATAACATGTTGGTGAGTGATTAAATTACATATATTTATTGTTGTGTAATGTTGAAAGTCTAAGAAGGGACAAGTTCGGCAAACACATTCGGAACAATATTCGGAAAACTACGTCGATATTTTAGTTGTTTCGCGCGGGAACCTGGCAAGATTGCGTCAACTCGTCGCTGGTAACACAGCGAACATTTTGATACGTAAACAAACTTGGACCGAGGTCGGCAAATAAGTATCCGATATTAAAGACGATGTTGTCAATAAACCACGATTTTGACAAGTAAGCTCCCGAATTCGAAACGACAAAAACATTATTAGCTGTATGACAATTATTCATCTAGGCTGTGCCTCGGTTATTACCTTAAGATTTAAATTAAGTTGATACAATCAAATAAGAATAACCAACCATAAGGTTGTACCACTCGATTTTGACATTTTACTCCCACTCCACATTAAGTCGTCGTTAAATTATACGTTGTATATGTCGTGCAACTGACCCAAATCTCGCGGCATACTCGCCTATGGGTGGCTGGTTATTCCTTAAATATATATATTTAATTTATGTAACTATATAAACAAGTAACATATGATTTATTTCCTTTTTACTATAAGATTGACATTGGTCTACAGCATGGCGAAATCAAACAATATCCCAGGGGCTTACCGCTGGACGAGATTACTATTGCAGATAAGTTAAAAGAGGCTGGATATGCAACTCATCTCATTGGAAAATGGCATTGTGGGTGTTATTCGAAGTACTCTCTGCCACATAACAGAGGATTTGACACATTTTTCGGTGAGCATATAGATATAATCATTCCATTCACTAATACACAATTCAGTAGCAAAACAATGTTTTTGGGCATGCTATATTCCTATTCAAGTGTTTTAAATACAATTGCAGTTCTATAGCTTCCATCAATTCAACTAGAATATTAGTGTATGTATGCGTGCACACCTGTATATAAAAAGATCACAAATGTGTGGTTACAACCTGTAATGAATAGCAATAACTTGTGTGCATTAGGTGATTGGCGAATAGAACTAATTGTGAAACTATATGAAAATTACAAGTGTCTGATACTTATCATACTCTTTATCATTGGCTTCTTTTGAGACTTCATGCACAATTTTATATCCCCCCCCCCCCCTCCGCCAAAAAAAACGTGTTCATCAATAACTATTGTTAAGCATATTTTAGTAAGGACCGTGCACATCTGTAGAAATGCACTGAGTGCTACATTGATTGCAGAAGGTGTCCTTGGTCCCATTTGTACAAACCCGATTATTCTACTATATAATCTTGATAATCTATATAATCAATTCCTAAAAAAAGTGAACGATATTGCACATAATAACTAATACATTCAATGTGTTTATATAATCTAATGAATTGGATTCTAGAAAATTAATACTCATATGTTTTGTTTTGTATTTATTCTTGGAATTTTAATCAGCACAGGGTTATTCATAGATTCTTTACTCATTCATATTCCGAAACGTGGTTTTTCTAGGCTACCTTGGCGCATCGGACGATCACTATACGCATATGGTACGTGGCTTATCAGACTTAAGATTGAATGATGATTGTGTGGGTTACAAATATTTTGGTGATTTCTCAACAATTATGTATGCAAATGAAGCAAAGAATATAATAGCTCAGCACGACCAAAATAAGGTAACTCTTTGCATTTGAAGGCAGTAGATAGTACTGTTTTGCTCTTCCCTATTGAACGGCCAGCTACCTTTCAATAGTGGACGGTGTTTGTCCAGCATTTACTAGAAAAGAACGTTTTTTTGCTCTAAACAGTATCCGTTTACTAGTTTCTCAGTTCTCAAAATGCATATTTCATAGGAGAGAACTGTTTTTTTACCAGTAGGTTGCTATCACATGACTCAACCGAAGAGCATAACGCATACTTCAATCACTATTAAAAAAGATGCATTTTTAAGTGACTACATTCTTGATTTGAACCAACGATTTTCAGATGGAAGAGCTGTGTCAATGCATGGTCAACCGCAATAATCTACCTTTGATCCGCCAAAATATTTTTTATAATTAATATTAATATATTCATAAAACTCCTTAATCCAACTCAAATAATTAATTTTTTGTTGCAACAGTATCATTTCATTATCTTCTGTTCAAATATGTTGTCAAATGTATGAGTTCTTGATCCATAAAAAATAATCCAACCGTCTTATAAACCACCTGTCTATTAAGACAATTTAAATGAAGTCTCTTGGGTGGTCGCTAGTTTGATATACATGTATATGTATTTATTTTTTCAAGTTTTACCATTGAGGGCGCTATTTAGTTTGTATTACACTTCGTTATTTCTCCTGATCTGTTCTGATATTGTAGACATTTATTTCAACAGAATTTAGGATATTTAATTTACGTATTAATTTTAATGAAATTGAGAAACAATGTGTAACGCCAAGAATATTACACAAACAAGATGGTAGAGTTTAATGCAATGTCCTGTTCTTTTTATTTCTGGACCAGTGTAAACAAAAGCAAAAAAAAAAAACCTGTGTATAATAAATAAATAATACAAATCAGTATACACAACATAAATACATAAATATACACAAGAGGCACATTACCATTCAGTGCTATGCCAAATAGACCGTCAATATTGTCAACAATATAAACAAGGTATTTATATGCTGTTGACAACATCAGAATAACACATAAAGTAAATAACCTCAAAATAAATTATTTTGTATGGTTCACAATGGTTAACAATACTATAAAAATGTAAATAAAGTAAACAAGTAAACATTTATATAAATAATCCCACAAAGAGTACACAATCAAAACATACCCTGACTCAGTCTAGACAACCGCCACTGTAAACAGCTTCAATCAAATAGTGTAGTTCAGTTTCAGCTAACAGTCTAGGCACGAGATGAAAATGCATAAATTATACACTAAATCAAATTTACATCAAAACAGTCATAAAATATGAAATCATAAAGTGAGTGGTTGGAAAATGCATCAAGTATCACTCAAATGTCATCAGGAGTGCATAAGACTATATTATAAAGAACAATAACAAATTTCAATAAATCTTGCAGCCTATAACTGTCCATAGACGCCATGTATATGACAACAAACTTGAAATGTGAATTTCTCATAAAAAACATGAAATACAATGCTGAAGAAAATACAATATAAAATACATTGCTTACCAGTAACATTGGCATCAAAATGAATGATTGATGGCCAAAATTAACTCAGAAAAGAAGAAGAATCTTCCGCCAACCTAGCAGAAGGCAACATTCAAAAATGGACGGATGCTGAAGCATGACCTTTGACCGGTCAAAAGAAAGTAATTGAAGAAATTGTTCTACGATAAAAATAGTATTAAATCCAAGCATTGCATTATCAAAGATATGAAATAACAACAATACGGCACTTTACAATGTCAGAAAAATCATTTCACAGAAAAATTACCAAAAATCGTCTCAAGAGGGCGCTGTGTTTAATTTCATGTCTCAAATGGAAGTCATTTGCATACATCCCATGTGATTTATCACTGAGAAGTCAGTTTAAAGTTGGTCAGTAACGTCATTCAATCCAGCGTTGGTCTTGCGGGATGTTTTAGTCGAGTTCGTTTCAACTTAATGTGTTTAGGCAGCATTATAAATCAACTATTCATGGCAATGAAAGAAGGACTTATGCAGGAATGGCGTCATGTGTTGATGAAGCAATAGCAAATATCACCGAGGCACTGGAAAATAAGGAAATGTGGAAGAACAGTGTAGTTGTATTAACAACAGGCAAGGATTTATGCTGATCTATGTTTTCAATGAAATAAAACTTCCGTATTCATACGAATTATTTGCATTACCTTTATCATTAATTCATTTTCAGATAATGGCGGTGGATCAGTTGGAAACAATTGGCTTTTGAGGGGGAAGAAAAAAACACACTGGGAAGGAGGAGTGCGAGGAGTTGCGTTTGTTTATAGTGATTTACTACCGATGCCCGTGCGTGGCACTGAAAATAATGAATTAATGCATATAACTGATTGGTTCCCTACATTAGTAAATTTAGGAGGAGGTAACCCCTATGAAAAGAATGAGTTATATGGCGTTGACCAATGGGAAATGATAAGGTATTTATAGATAATTATTTAGGATAATTGGAAGATGTTTGCAGTAACACGGGAGTATAAGCAGTACATTTTTGTTGTTGCACGTTTGATCGTTTTATCGACCAGTTTCAAATGTTGGTGTAACATTAATAGTAGTAGCGGTTAGCTTGAGACACAAGACATTTTAGATATCAATGTAAAAGTTGTTGCTGTATTTTATGGTTGGATGCAACTGAGAACATGAGTCATCACATGCTTGTGTCATTTGTGAAATGAAGTGTGTTTTTCACATTAGATACATTAGTAAGTGTCATACAATTTTACATCATCAGTGAGTTAACTATGTATCTATCCTCGGGGACATCCGGGTATTTCCACCGCCTATCAACCATCCCGGTAAAAACAAAGGTCGATAACGTTACAAAAAATGTACTTTGTTGCTCATGATTACTTCAAAGTTGAGCTTGTCACTGTGGAAAGACAACAACATGACAATTGCGGTTACCTCTACACTCGCGATTCTCATGAAATGCATAATTGACTAAAACGAGAGGGTGCAAGTTATCTATAATTACCAAGTATGCAAACTATTTGCCCTGCATGAGTTGTTTACGCGTGCATATTGTTCATGGTACACATGTTTAATAATATCAAGGACTGACCACCCACCTTCGTACTAACATATTTTATTTGAACGTACAGAGGAAAGGAACCATCGGCACGTGGTGAAGTATTGATTGGCCTGGACGTGACAGAGAAAGCAAGCGAAGAATATCGAACAGGTCCCTTCAAACACGATAAATTTGATATCACAATTTTTGCAGCTATCAAAATGGGTAAATGGAAGTTACTGACAGGTGATAACAAACGTGAGTATTCATTCTACAGTGTAAGAAGTTCGCTATAATGACAGTATTTTGGCAACTTGTAACAAATTATGATTTAGCAATGACGATAGCAATGTGTATATCCAAAATTTAAAAAAAGGTAATTTGGTGTCAAATGTATAGATATTTCTGTCTTATTAAAAATGTGTGTACTTGAGTATGTATATGGTATTGGCTATCCGCTCCGCTAGGATTGCCCTTATAATCACTTTTGTGGCTTTGTGTGTGTGTGATTTTCAGTGTTTTTACGTATTCAACTTGGCAGGTAGATCACACCTTCACCCTAGTTATTAGGAAAAATGCGAAAAAAAATGTTGTCCCATCGTTGCTCGTTGCATCGATAGCTTCGCGCCAAATGTATCTCCTCCTACAAATTTGGGATAAAACACCTCAGACATAGCTCATTCTACTCAGCTTGAGTGTGGGCACAAACTTACTATTTGAATGTTTGATATCTTTTTTCATTACCGAGAAATTTGACCCCAAAGTTGGTGTAATGTATTGAGTTTGCCTAAGCGTATTGCATGCTGGGTACAGCCTCATTGTGAGTTTTGGTAAACAAAGTCTCCATCCATGTAAAGATTCAATTCTGATTTGAGTCCTCTAATTTATAGCAGTAAAAGCGAGAAACTGGTATATTACAGAGCCTGGGAGTGATATACTACAGTTGGGGTAACTGTTCATCAGGAGTGGCTTTTTAACTTTTCTGCAATTTTTTTTGCTGAGTCGATTTGGTTCAAACTTGGCAGGCAAGTCACACCTTCACTCTTGTTAGGTTGTAAAATCTGGCCCACCGTTTCTATGGCAACAATCAAAAAACTGAATTTGTTAATACATTCGCGCCAAATGTATCTCACTCTACATTTCTACGATTAAAAAGCACAGACGTAGCTTATTCTACTCAGCTTGAGTGTGAACATAAATTTAGTGTTTTATGTCTATTTTCATTACAGAAAAAATTGTTCTGGAAGTTGGGGTAACTTTTCACCAGCAACGACTTTTAACTGCTCTGTGATTTGTTTTGGCTTGGCTGATTTTGTCCATACTTGACAGGCAGGTCGTATCGTCACTATTTGGCCCACCGCTGCCATGGCAACAGCCAAAAATTGATTTTTGAATACTTTCGCTCCAAATTTATTACCTCCTACCAATCTTGTTTTGGCAGTGTTCAAATGATCATGCTTTTTATTTTGGCTACGTTGTGCACTGGTAGGAGATCACCGGCGCCGACATTGTTACACTGTATTAACATAATCCCAACGCAACTTTGAACTTTGAATGAACTGTAAATCTCTCGATTCACAACAATTACATTTTAGCTCGCAATTCCTGGGACATGGAAGACCCAGACCATGGTGTAATAGACGATGTGGAATTCGATGACACTCGCATGGTTCGGCTGTATGACTTAGTGGATGATCCTTCTGAAAGAACTGATCTGTCTGACGAAAGACAAGATATAGTACACGAGATGCTCGCTAAACTTGATGGATATGCAAAGGTAGCAGTGCCTCCTCAGATGCAAACCGAACCTCGTGTTAACAAGCATGTTCTTGAATGCCTGGGCCCTTCGATTGATTGAAAATTCTAACTATGCTGGTATAGTAATAACATGTAAATTAGGCTGAATGTTATAGACATAATAAAACTAATGATAAATAATAATACATACTGCGTAATTGCACCTATAAATGATTAAACCCTAAAATACTTTCCAAAATAATTTTGTTTTTTCGGTAAACATTGAACTTAAAAAAATGCCCGGTTGTCTGGATACAAATGTATACCGCACAAAGTGAGATTTCGCATTTTATGGGTTGGCGGGTCGTTCTTTATTGTTGAAATATAATACCAAAATACTAGTAGCATATTGACTTTAGTTAGTTTATTGGAAAGCTATCATTTACCATGGATTAAACGTTATACTACGCCCACAACGTCAGTAACCAGGCAATTGCCATATGATTATTGAGTTTACAGACTGTGCCACCTTTTGTTTGGACAGTTAAAGATTGACAGTACTGGTAAACATTGTAACTATTGTTTACTTATTATTCAGTACCTTGCAAGCCATCATCCAGTTAACAACCCCTGAAATATCTTATACCTATTTTTGTGAAATTATACCCCTTTTCAAGCGTTGAAACTTAAAATAGATACCCTATGTACATTGAAGCAAGCGCCACGTAAAACGTCTTTTTTGCACAGCCCCATTTGGTAGAGCAATCCCGCCGAATAATACCGAACGCATTTGGAACCCAGAAGCACGCCCGACGGAAAAAACAAACTGAAACAATAGTCCAAACTACTTGCCTATTCTCTGGCGACTTTATCACGTTTTTTTGTCTCGTTTTTATGTTTGTTTATTGCGGGAGAAAATGTGAGGTGACAGCCCGAGAAATATCTCCTTTTTTTTTGTAGACGCGTTGTATCTTCAAGAGAAGTGAAAGTGGACCCCTTATATATTTTAAAATATTCGACCCTAAACACGTTATACGCGTAAAATAATTAAATGACACCCCTTTTACGCGTTTTTTTGTTACTTCAGCTTGTGTACCATATTTTATTCAGGAAACCCCCCGGAATCTATGTACACATATATATGTGGGAATTACTGTATGTAAATGAGAGACCAGTATTGAAACAAAATACGTAGAAATGATTGTTTCATGTATGATCTGCACGGTATGCTTGGAAATGTTTTGTCGTTTTTATTATACTCGTTTTGTTGTGTTCGATGTGGGTTAACCTTTGTACAATCTGAGACGACAAATCTGGAAATAATCGCCCCTTTATTACATTTACTCATCGAATAATAGTGTACCTATATAACATATTGGAATGCAGCATTACAAAGCAAATTAATGCTTGTGTATATAGGTGAAGAGTGTTATACATTGAGTTTCTATGTTTGATCATAATGTGTCAGGCATCTCGCTTGTAATCAAATAAACCAGAGCTTAGTCGAGTCCAGATTCTACCCATCAAGCTTTGCAAACTTTAGTACTTTGGCCAGCCCACTCAACTTCTGGTTCCCGTCTTTTTTAGTCAATCTAAAAGGCAATCGGTCCAAATTGTTGTTGCTTCTTTATCGAACATGCCACCTGTCACCATACTCCTGTTAGTAAATTCCAATCGTTTAATAAGTGTGCGCAGAACACAAGTTACCAGTTACTTGAACACGCAACATATAATAGTATTTATCGTGAACACCGTCGTTTACAAAAGGCGTCTCACAAAAAAAGTAGCAACCTAAATTATTGTTCAATATGAGTTTTCATATTGTGCTGTATTTATGAAATACGATAGTGAAATAGTTTATATTATTAAAGACTAAGATGGGCCCATTTTGGTTTGAAACATCTTTGGTTATTTTGCTTTCTGAAATGCTTCACGATGAAACATGTTCAAATCACATTTGTGAACGTTCTGATGTGATTCGACCACAGCCACTGTTCACCAAATGACTGAAGTTTGTTTTCACTCAATTTTGTTAGTACTGCTTGAATAACATTTTTCCTAGAGATCATTCTGAACGAAACATTTTGAAAGCGGCCTATTCACCCTAACTTTACCAACCAGTTCCATGTAATCAAGTGTGTTTGGTTTTGCTGGCTGCAAGCTTGGAATTTTTTACCCCGGTCAAGTGTTTCCTCTAGATAGACAGTGAAAGCTTCTTGAATATTCTCGCAATCTAAGTTGAAATCCTATTCCGTGTATAATTCATTTGAGCATGCACAGAGACACAAACTATGTTCTATACACACAACTCCAGTATTGGGTTAAAGGTCAACATTTATCAATGACACTTGACTACAAGCAAGTCAACGCAAGGGAAACGACTGCCGTAAAGTTTGCAGAAAAACGGAATAGATGGGGGCGGGTTTCAAAGGTTAAGAGTCATGCGCATAATGGATATCATCTACGGTACTAACCTGGGGATCTTGGTTTGCATTTTATAATACCATTATGTTATGGTTCATCCGAGGTATAGTATCATAATAATATGTAATACGGTTATTTGTGTTTAGCTGTGGTGGCGCTTTCAAATTCGACCATCTGTGGATATCACATGATTATCGACATACACGCGTGGTAACAGTTGGTACTTATGTATTGTATGACTGAACAACATAGTGCATATATGTATAGATGTATATCACATCTTGTCAACGGAAATCACTCGAATTATACATATAATACAGTGATGTGCGAATATCAAAGACGTGGAATCCTTGGCGACTATTTGCTGACCACACTCGCTGAAAAGGTAAGCCATGTTTTGCATTCAAATATAGCACTGTATATAAATCATAATTTCCAACACCTGCCAATAACAATGTTTATTATACGAACAAAAACAGTGATTCATATGGGTACATGCATGCACTCGTACTGTAAATTGACTGATTATATTCTGACCAACACGATCCATTGTTAGTATTCGATGATTTAATTTCTCATTGTATGTTAAAATATAGTCCGACCACGTGTTTCATTTTATGCTGCTTTTCCTATACATATCATCCATAGAATATTAATAATACCACTAAATGGCACAGCTGGCGTGAAGCTGGCGTGAATCATAACTCCAGCGAACGCCGCCGCTATATATAAATATAAAATATACGTGATGCAATGAAACTGTTCTCGGCAGCTTAGATATTGATCATTATTTGAATGCATAGCGTATTAATTAAAAATTAATTTAATTATATTTCACAGCTTACTTATTAAACATTAATTGAATGCATAGCGTAATAGAAATGTAATTAAATTATATTTCACCATCATATCTGTCAATGCACGATTGTGATTGGATGAGAGCTAGTTTTGATTTCTAAAATACCTGATATACAACGGTTTTCTGAGTTTAGTAGTAGGCCTTAAACGTGTATAACTTACAGCAAGGTTAAATTCCTCTGTCGAATTAAATCGACAAAAACATTATTTTCGCTATAGCTATATATTTTCGCTATAACGCAAAATAATGAACATAATGGTAATTTGTGTTCAAAAGAGCATCTCTCACTCGTGAACCCGGGAGTGTTGTCGATCCTCAAAACGCAATCGGGCATACGGCGTTAGTATTTGTGAGAATATGTCGAATATGTGAATTTGCGTCACCACTCGATGTATCTATGATGCCTACATGCTAGTTCCAGGGCCCATTTTATTTAAACACAGTTGCGACATTTTTGAAAAATCATTATTCAATAGGAATACGCAGATATAAGGCAAGGTGCCTTTTATATAAAAAAACGCCACCTTGCCACCTTTCACAAACCTAGAATTTCTTATGCACTACTATGCACGTTTTGTGGTCGGAAAGGTGTTTTTAATAGTAAAGTTTGAAGATACAGGTATATAATTTATTCTGCATTTATGAATGGACAATTAGACAAAATTAATTTAGGATGCCCATATAATTCGATACATTGTTTCCTTTGTAAACTGTGAACTTGTATAAATTGTAGTGCTTTCGATAATAAATTACAAATGACTACTGAGTAGTGTGGATACAGTAATAGAAACCAATAGTTTATTTATTGTTTTAGTATGTAGAGTATTTGATTTGATTTATTTCACCAGAAAATATACAACAACAGAAAACAAACAATGTGAGATGAAGAAAAAAAGGATGTTTGAACTTTTCTGGTTTGGTTCAAGGAAAATAATTCGTCTGAACTAACCTAGTCCAAGAACCAACTTATTGTATAATATTATGGTAATAAAACTGGTTAAATGATTAAATAATGATTATAATAATTCAATTAAAATGGAGTTAGGTAGGTAGGACATCCAAGAATAGTAATATACAACTTATACAATGTATACATATTCAGCGTTTTTGATAGCATGCTTTTGGTGGAAATATAATAATTACTGTCCCCGCACGTTTTAATAAAATGATAAATATCGAGACAGTTATTCGAAGTCCGTAGTGCTGACTCTTTGGAGGGCAAAATGAAGACACTTTTACTAAAAAAATACATGTTTTAAAATAATTTGAGTGCAGAACGTACTCGAAACACACATTTGCTCGTAAAAATAGAGAGTACATGCCCTGAGACGTTGACTATATTATACAGCGCATCCATCCATCAGTACCATGACGCTGCGAAGTAAGAAATATTGAAGAAAATTTTGCGTTGAAAATAAAATAAGATATTCTATCCCCCCAAAAGGAGCTAAATAGGCATACCGAGTACTCAAACCTCGCTGACAAAACAAAACGATGTTGTCTCCGTAAAATCTATGTCGAAATTTAAAATGTTCCGTTGGTCTGCAATCTACCAGTACGACACTTCAGATCATGATAATTTGAACACTTTTTGAGTTATCCTGTTTCCATCACAACAAACCTCTGTCAGATTAAACTTAAATCTTGAACAATAATGTCGTGCGCATCTACTTCAGTGTATGACATATGATACAAAGTTTGGCTGATACCTCCCTGCCTATCTCCAATAAATGCTTCCTGAAACAACCGTCAATTTGGTAAAACAGTACATGACACAACCTGAGCAAACCGACTCATGCGTTATATTAGTGAAGTATTGACATGGACATGACTACAAA